TCAAAAGTGGCTTCTTTTGAGGAAGGAAAGAGAATAAATGAAGTTGAGAATGCAGATATTTCAGTACAAAGCTATAAAACAAGGGAGAGGGGGAGGGAGACAGAGAGACAGAGGACCGAAAAAAATGTAGTAAATATTGACAACTACTTAAACTTGGTGCTACCTATATTTTAGGTGTGTGTGATTTTTAAGAATTTATTTACAGAAGTATAGCATTTAGTAATGTTTTAAACAATGTCTAAATCATTAGAAGACACATTGATCTTCCCAAATAGTTCCATTTAGTGGCCACATTTATTTAGCTAAGTGCTTTTGAAAATAAGATTTATTGCTATTTCCCATGCATCCCTTTGTTTAAAGTTTGGAGCAAAGCACTGGGCTTCAAGCTTATCATTGAGAATTTCTCAAGCAGGGAAGGAGGTTCAGTTTAACACCAACCCAATGGCAATTAGGGTCCATCTCTCTTAACCCAATTGAGTTATTAGGCATTGTGCTTCTTTCGTGGAAATATCAGGTTAATATTCTAAGAACATTTCTTTGTTTTGCTTGATGAGGCTGAGCCATGGGCTAATGCCCACAATTTATAACAAGTTGTCAAAGCTGCCCAAGAAATGATATTTAGGAAGTCTTTATGCTTTCTCCACTGCTAGCATGATACTAAGAATTGTTTTAATTTTCTGTAATTCCTAAAGCTTCTTTTTATTAAAAAAAGTTTTCCTCTACTTTTGATGGTCATATCACTTTTTTTCTTCCTGTACCTTCATGAAGTTCTTGATATGAAAGCTATGCTTTCCTAGACAACTGTTATTCAGTATGAAAAGCTGCCTGGGTCTTGTCAGCCTCCATCTTACACTATTTAATTTTCATTCTGGAGCTCACAAAATGGCTATTTCTATAATGCATTCCATGTTTCCAGGTAGAAAAGATTGCTAGCACAGTAAATATCCATCTAAGCCTTCTCTCTCATCAACAAAACATGTCGTTTGTAGTACCCACACATCAACAGAACTTCCTCAAGCCTGCCACTGTTCCTTTTTCATAATTATATTTTATAATCCTCCTTTACACACGAGAGCTCAATTCACTTCCTCCTACAATGCATTAGCATCCTCTTCAAACCCATTAGTGGTATCACAAGCTGCACAGCACCGTCCCCTCTTCAAAATATTTTATTATTAAGTTACTGTACTGCAAGCTGGGAATCTATGAATATTTAAGCAAGGCATTGTATGTTTATGTACACTGTGCCAAGACAAAAAAAAAAAAGCTATTCACCCTAATATTTTGGCAATGCTATATTAAAAGCTGCTATATCGTTGAAGAGATATGTTTGTTCAAGCTGAAGCCATTTGTTATTAAATAAGTAAAACAATCCATTTTTTAAAATTCTTGGTGATTTAATCCATACCTGTCCTTCAATCTGTAAATAAAGTATCAGCACTAATTAGCCAGAGATGGGTACACTGAAACTGACTCCAGGAATCCCAGAAGTTTGGGCAGTTCCTTCGTACTCATAACTAATTCCAGTTTTGTAGGCTCTGTTTCACTTTTTAACATTTGAGATCAATTAGCCCTAGGTTTTGATGGTTTTGGTGACATCTCCACTATTGTTTGTAATTCTCTAGGTGATACGACTATCTGGAGTTTGGTAAATGGTTAGACATCAACAATCCAGTAATTTCACCCAAAATAAAATCAATTCCATGGTCTGATGCACCGCACTGTTGAAATAATATAGTGCAGAAGCAACCCAAACGCACATCCACCGATGAACAGATGTACTAATGTGGTATATCCATACAATGGAATATTTTTCAGCAATAAAAAGGAACAAAATATTAATACATGCTGCAACATGGATGGAACAACATCTGTAACTACACTCAAAACCATTAAATTTTCTGGTTTAAGTGAGGTAAATTTTATTGTGCATAAATTAAAGCTTAATAAATCTACTTAATAATTTATAGTCACTGACCTCATTGCTCTTTTAAGAAGGCCTTGTGAATTAGTGAATCACCTTAGATGGCACTGGGACTCTCCAGGTATGAATGGAGAGAGAGGTGGGATAAGAGGGAAAAGCCAGGGTAGGGTGGAGCTGTAGCCGAACCACTAAGACACTGTTAAAACTACATACACCTCTTCTCCCACCAGGTACACGTGGAGCCCCTACCCCTATGTCAGGAACCACTGCTGCCCCTGGGAGCTGGGGATGGTGAGAACATGGAGAAGGATCATCCACCTGAAACGCAGGGTTGAAAATGTCTGGCCAATGGGTCACTAACAACAACAAACTACTTCCCTGGTCAGTGCGCCCCATCTATTTAGGGAAACATAGCTACTAGCATACTTAGCATTTCACGGAGAAAATTAGCACCATTTTGCTCTTCAGCAATGTTTGACTTTATTCCATGAAAGGTAATGATTACAATAGAGACAAAATAATTCTTTAGACCATATAAAATTGGCAATTTTTGTTTCACGTCATGTCAGATATTCAGAGAAGTTTCCAGAGGAAAAATGAGGTGAAGGGTGGAAAAAATAAACAACTAAATGCAAGCTTTCCAGAACACCATGTATGATGTTTCCTTCCCTGTTTGGATTTTTCTTGCACGATTGATGTTCTCCTTCCTAAAAACATTACCCTTTGATCCTTCCATTCTGCATCTATGAACTGCTGTTTCTCTCCCCAACAATTCTTTATCCTGCATGGTACTTAGTATGTGCCAGTTGCTGTTCTAAACTTGCTATACATTTATCCCATCTAATCTCACTAAATCTATGATGTGGGACTTTAGATAAGGAAATTCAAGGGCAGAAGCATAACAGTCCAGTTACTCCCTGCCCATCTTATTTCTGTGGTCTCTGCCTGTCCCCAGGGAGCATGGGAATATCACTCAACTGATAACCATTGTATGTTGGTGCCCAGCTTCAAGAGTAAGGCAGGTGTGAGGAGTATCTCTCTCATGAGTTCTGTGGAGTCTGAGGAGACTCTCATCCCTGGAAGAACTTTCTCCTGTTGCCCTGAAGCTGGTAAACTGGCTTCTTGGTTTCCACTGCTTCTGTCCCCAAGATGAAGGAATGAGATAGATCAAGTCTGCTGGTTAGAGTCTGTCTCTTGGGAGATGCTCTGACCTGAGGTGAGCCCAGGAGGGTGTCCTTTCACATCTTCAACATCTGACCCATGAGAAGCACACATTTGTCTCAATAACACCTCGTAATGCAGATTGACTGCACTGCAAAGACTTCTTACTTGGCTCCAGCGGAAGGTAGCCAGGGACCCTCGCGCTGTTCCATCTCTCAAGTAGGACCTGGCTGCCCACAGGGCTGCCCCTCTGGTGAAGAACACGTGCCACTTTTAGGATTATCTCCTGGAAGTCTACCTCATTATGTTGAGGAAGTCAACTCAACAGATGTTTCTCACTGAGTTGGATGGGAAAGGAGAATGCACAGGTCACCAACAGGTCTTCCCTCAAAAAAAATCATCTCTCTCTCTCTCTCTCTCTCTCTCTCTCTCTCGCTCTCTCTCCCTCCCCTCCCCCAACCCATCTCTCCTTTCTGAACCATTTTATTCCTTTATTTAGGAGAGAAAGCTAGAAGTTTTTGGAAATTTCTGGCCACATACTTTTAAAATCTAGATACAGTAACACCTCATTTTGGAGTTTCGTATCTGAAATGCCCTTTTATGTATATTTGTACGGATGAACGCATCTTCCTCTTATTTCTATTTCCTGCATAAAGCCACTTATCTGCTGATGGCATGAGCCAGGCCTGCTATATTGACCACACTGGAATGAATACTGCAATGTATGCACAGCACATATTATACTACATGACAAATAACTGGGATTCATACATTTGTGTAATGAATGCACGGACCCAAACTTTTTACCTATTCATGAAAATCTGAGAGTGTTCAGCTACCATCCAAAGCTACATGGCTCTGATTATAAAGCCATACAGTCCCAAAAGCAATTACTAGCTTTTCTACAGAAATATTGTTCCATATTTGAACCTTTCCTGTAAATGCATCAGTTAAGTAATAAACATTATTTCCAGAGTTCTACACAGTTCTGCCAAAACGTCAATCATGCCCTGACACAAACAGACACTTTTTAAAATAAAGCAATTTAGAATACAATTATATGCTTAGTGCCATGAGTTCTCAGTAAGCTGTACAAAAATATCTGGCCTCTCTGCTAATGAAATGAAGGAAAAATAATTGACAGTTATCTTATGAGATTTCATTGTAATGCACATGATGTTATAATAAACCTGGTTACTGGAAATTCTATGGTCCACTATTTAAAGTACACTATATAAACTGATCACCTTGGAATCAGCTTATTTTGAAATTCCTGATGGTAAGCTTTGATGTGAATGTACTATAGATGTGAAGTAAATTACAATAGGTCTTTTCCAAACCTAGTGCATATGATCAGTGGAATAAAAACTTCACAAAAAACCTCTGTTACCATCTATAGCCAACTTATAACAGATGTTGTAGCAACAAAAATTCCAATTTGAAACAAATAAGAATTGTCTCCACAGTAGCCTATCCATGGTGCCTTTTTTGGAATTGTAATACCAAATAAGCTACAGGAAAATCAACTCTCCACACAACAGAGCAACTGAAAAAGCAAGCACAAACAAAAATACATATTCCAGATAAAATTTAGCTGATAATATGTCCTGAGTGATAATATACTTGATTTTTAACATGTTGAGGTTTCTTGGTATGATTTTAAGTAAAGGAACACCATGGTACTTTTTTCTCCACTTTTGCAATTTTTTCAGGTACACCCTAACCAGATTATTAATTTGAAAGTCCACGAGGTTTTATAGGGGTCTTAAGATAGCATCTTTGAAATTTATGAGTATCAAGTTAAGAAAATATGTTTCTGATCATTTGTAAGTGAAAGTACTCAGAATAGAAGTGAAGATTTTATTCAAAGATACAATTTGAATACTAAAATAATCTAGATGTTTTTGTGGACTTACTTTTTCCAGCCGTGTCTTCATTGGTAGGCCAACACTGGGTACAGAAGCCAGGCCTGGGAAAGAACATAAAGCAGCACCTCAGACAAAGGACTCTTCTCTAGAATATATAAAGAACTCAAAACAATCAGCCCCACCAAATATAAAGACCTGATTCAAAAATGGGCACCTGAAATGAACAGACATTTCTCAAAGAAGTAAAAGCAACAAGTAAATATATGAAAAAATGTTCCACATCACTGGTCATTCAAGAGATGCAGATGAAAACAACACTGAGATTCCACCTCACCCCACAAATAATGGTTGCTATCAAGAAATTAACCAATACCAAATGCTGGCAGGGTTATGGGGAGATAGGAACCCTTCTTCATTGTTGGTGGGAGTGCAGACTGGTGCAACCAGTATGGAAATCAATATGGAGATACCTCAGAGAACTAGTAGTAGAGGACCCATTGGACCTAGCCATCCCTCTTCTGGGTATCTTTCCAAAATAATTAAAAGAATCATATCACAGTGATATATGCACACCTATGTTTATAGCAGCACAGTTTGAAATAGCTAAAACTTGGAAACAGTCCATTTGCCCATCAGTTGGAGACTGGATAAAAAAGATGTGGTTTTTCTATAAAATGGAATACTATTCAGCCATAAAAGATGAGAAATTAGATTCATTCATAGGAAAATGGATACATATTGAGGATATACTCTTAAATGAAATAAATAAGTCACACATGTATAAATACCAAATAGTATCTCTAGTGTGAAAAACTATAATGTTACATAAGATCATAATGAGATAACTGACAATGTGAAATAGGAAGAAAAGAGCTAAAGGTTTAGGGAAAGTAGGAAGGGTAAAGGAAAGGTAATAAGGGAAAAGATAAAAATAGGAGAAAATGAAAAAAATGGAAATAAAGTGTTTGTAAATGGTGAGGGGAGGAGGGGATGAAGGGAGGGCAGGGACAAGGGGAAAAAATGAGAACCAACACCTGTCATGTAAAGGTACAAGATCACAATGATGAATGTAACTTTATTGTATATCAAAAATGTACCAAAAGTCTGCAATCACCCGGCGGCGTGCACGCGAGCTCCCGGCCTGCGCGGGAGCCCCCGGCCTGCACGACAACAGACCAGGAAGGCCCCAAAGACCCCAGAGGGGGTTTTTTTCAGCTGCCTGCCTGCCTGCCTGCCTGCGATCACCCGGCGGCGTGCGCGTGAGCTCCCGGCCTGCGCGACAACAGACCCAGGAAGGAAGGTAGCCGCGCGGGCGCCCTTGAAACACCCACACGACCCCCCCCCCCGTTCTCAAAACTCCTGATCGGGCCAGTCCTTAGACCAACTCTGCAGAGGCATAGGTTCCCATGAAGGGTAGTTTTCTGAGCTCCGAACTTTGATCATCTTTAAAGAAAGGGCAGGGGAAACCTGTAATAGAACGGAGTGGAGTTCAACCCTGAGGGTAAGGAAACTAAAGTTAGGCTTTGTAGATTGTGTTCAGTCTCAGTCGTGAGGAACAGCCATTGGCTAGCTATAACCAGGGGATTGGGTTCCGCATATGACTGTGCATGTGGTATAATATGAGATCAGAGATAGCCTGAAAGAGGACCTTCAAATTCTTTTTCTTTCCCTCTCTCTTGTCTCTTTTTTCCTCTTTCCACCCTAAAATTTCTTTCTTTTTTCTGTCCTGTCTCTCCAACTCAGTCTCTTGCTCCACCATAGTGTCCCTCATCTCCCTTTTTATTCCAGTTCCTGAAGAACTCAGACTTCTTTTTTTATTTTTTGTTTTTAGGACGGGTTTCTCTTTATGTTCTTTTCTCCAGTCATTTTACCTCACTCATGGCTCTGTACCTTCAAGGGAAGGCAAGCGCCTGTTACTGTTAAGGGGATATATTCCTGTCCTTATTCCTGCACTCTCTCTATCCCCCCTGAACTTAATAGCTTTGTAAAGATAGTAAGGTAATTCTACAACCTCTGGATTCACTTCAAACCTGCTCTAATTCTTTCACTTATCTAATCCTCTTGTTCTAAGTCGAACCCCCCATCCTAAATGGTAAAGATGCCATATTGAAAAGAATATTCACTGCAAACATACTATGAGCTGCTTCTTGAAATTAATCTAATTCACATGAGTTAAAGGTGATACATTAATGACTACCATAAGTGGTCAGTTGGCAAGCTGTGCCTGATCCTATTGGGCTGCTGAATGTATCAATTGGGACAAAGAGTGGTGATTGATTTAAAGAGTTGTTTTCTCTGATATTATGAAAACGAGAATGTCTATGAGTCATTAGAAACTCAAAAGCTAAAACGCAACTATATTAGGAAGATTTAAGTAATACCCAGAAATTAAAGAAGGACAACCCAACAATAAAAATAAAAATGAGAAAACACTTAAGCAAGACACAAAAACAAATATCCAGTTCACCAATAGCAAATAGTAGGACAAATGAGGATGAAAAGTCTGATAGTGAACCAACAGGACTCCCTGGACCCATAGCACAGGAGGTAACAAAATTGATCAATCAGGCTCTAGAAAAATTCAAATCAGAAATAATTTCCCAGCTAGCCAGAGAGATGATGAGCAAAATAGAAGTCATGATTCGAGACTCTAGAGCAGAAACTGAGAAAAAAATAGATGAGCTCAAGACTGTGATAGAAGCCATGAAGACTCAGCATAAGAAAGACATGGAAACAATGAATGCCCAACAGAGGAAAGAAATGGAATCCATAAAACAGATTCAAACAGATATCCAGGAGATTAAAAACTCTATTGAAAGTGTACGAAACAGAATAAAAGATTGCGAAGATAGAATTTCAGATATAGAAGATAGGATAGCAGTCAGTGACCGTGAAAAAAGAGGTCTATTAAAAACAGTAAGGGATCATGAGAAATCAATCCAACAACTCCTAGACGATACAAAGAAAAATAACATAAGACTGATAGGAATTCATGAAAAAACAGGAGAAAACACAAATGATATAAAAAAGCTCTTCACAGAATTAATGACAGAAAACTTCCCAAACAGAAGGGAAGAATTAGACATACAGATAAGTGAGGCATATAGAACCCCAACTAGCCACGATCAAAAAAAATCTACACCTAGACATATAATAATCAAGATTCCAGAAATCCAACAGAAAAACAAAATACTACAAGCAGTAAGAGAAAAGAAACAAATCACATGCAAAGGGAAGCCCATTAGAATCACAGCAGACTTTTCAACACAAACCCTTAGGTCAAGGAGAGCCTGGAGTGAGGTATTCCAAGTCCTAAAAGAAAAGAATCTCCAACCTAGACTTTTGTATCCTGCAAAACTCTCTTTCAAAATAGATGGGGAAATAAAATACTTCCACGACAAAGAGCACCTGAGAAATTTCATGAACACCAAACCAGCACTGCAAGGAATTCTAAACAATATCCTAGAAAAGGACAACGAAATTCACAATAACATGAGGCCCAACAGACCAAATCAAATAGGCAAGGCAAGAAACTAAAAGGAGATGGGAGAAAAAGTAAAAAGAGTCAACAAATGGACAAAAACATGACAAGAATAAGTCAAAATATATCAGTTGTAACCATCAATGTTAATGGCCTCAATTCACCAATCAAGAGAAACAGATTGGCAGAATGGATTAAGAAGCAAAATCCAACAATATGTTGTATACAAGAAACACACCTAGTGCAAAAGGAAGTCCATAGACTGAAAGTGAAAGGATGGAAAACAATTCTCCATGCGTCAGGAGTCCAGAAAAAAGCAGGGGTAGCAATCTTATTCTCAGATAAAGTAAATTTCAAACCAAAACTCATTAAGAGAGACAAAGAAGGACACTACATCCTTGTAAAGGGAACAATTCAAGAGGAAGAGCTGACAATCATAAACATATATGCACCAAATATAAATGCCCCCAACTATATAAAACAAATATTAAGTAACATGAAAAACCAAATAAGCACTAATACAATTGTAGTGGGGGATTTAAATACCCCACTATCACAAATTGACAGATCTACTAGGCAGAAAATCAACAATGAAATAATAGAACTGAACCAAGCTTTGGAACACATGGACTTAATAGATGTTTATAGAGTATTCCACCCCCAAAAACCAGAATATACATTCTTTTCGGCTGCACATGGATCATTCTCCAAAATAGACCACATACTGGCTCACAAAACAGGTCTAAATAAATGCAAAAAAATTGAAGTCATCCCCTGTTTATTATCAGATCATAGTGCAATCAAACTAGACATCAATAGCACAAGAAACTATAGAAACTTCACAAGCACATGGAAACTGAACAACACTCTCCTAAACAATCAATGGATTACAGAGGAAATTAAAGAAGAAATTAGACAGTTTTTACAAATAAATGAGAATGCCAATACAACATACAGGAATCTTTGGGACACAATGAAAGCAGTTCTACGTGGAAAATTCATAACATTGAATGCCCACACTAGGAAAACAGAGCGGGCTCAAATAAACAACTTAACGATGAAACTTAGACTCCTAGAAAAACAAGAGCAAGAAAAACCCAAAGCTCGAACAAGAGAGGAAATTATAAAGATCCGAGCAGAAATCAATGCAATTGAAATTAAGAAAACGATACAAAAAATAAATGAAACAAAGAGCTGGTTTTTTGAAAGAATAAATAAAATTGACAAACCCTTAGCTAATCTTATCAAAAAAAGGAAAGAAAAGGCTCAGATCCATGCAATTAGGAATGAAAAAGGCGAAGTCACAACAGATCCGAAAGAAATCCAGAGGATCATGAACACCTACTTTGAGAACCTGTACTCTAATAAAATGGAAAACACAGAAGAAATGGACAGATTTCTAGATACTTATGAATTACCAAAGTTGAACGAAGAAGATAAAAACATTTTAAACACCCCAATCACAATCAGTGAAATTGAAAATGTAATTAAAAACTTACCAACAAAGAAAAGCCCAGGCCCTGATGGATTCACTGCTGAATTTTACAAGACATTTAGAGAAGAACTACTACCATTACTCTTCAAACTTTTCAATGAAATTGAAAGAGAAGCTATACTTCC